GCAGGGAGCAGATTTGGGGGAAACACACGAGGGCGAGTCCAGATTTAGGTGGATGCTGAAGCCGGAGGTGTTTGCAGGGCTTCGGGAAGGGGATGTAGCAAAAAACATACTTTAGTAACAGTTAACATTTATTGCCTACGCTGACTCTCTACCATGCATTGTCTGAGCCATTTACATGTGTTAACTTATTCTCTTCTCAACTTCCTTTGGGGGGAATGCTATTATTTACCCACAGTTTACAGATAAGTAAACTGAGATGCAGAAAGTTGAAATGATTCTCCCAGAGTCACATAGCTGGCAAGTGGTGGCATAGAGAGGTTTTAGTCTCAACATATAAATGGTAGACGGAACCAGGGGACTCTTTAAGGGCTCCCCAGGAAACCACAGAGAAACAGTATGACTGCAGATTCAACTCTGGGGGGACAGTGACATTAAGGGATATGCAGAGAAGAAAGGGCCATGAGAAGACAGGAGGGAAGAGCAGTGTCGGTGAATGTGTACAAGGGGAAAATGCCAGAAAGTTCAGTCGAAACAATCCAGTTAGCAGCACTAGGGAATTTCCTTACTAGGTTATTTACAATCCGTACAGTGGATTGCAGCACAGCCTTTATATACATGTATATTTATACTTATTTTTAGGTTTATTTACTTATTTATGGGGTAGGGGCAGAGAGAGAGAGAGGGAGAGAGGATGTCAAGCAGGCTCTGTGCTGTCAGCATGGGGCTCGATCGCATAAACTGCGAGATCACGACCCGAGCCGAAATTAAGAGTCGGACGCTTAACTGACTGAGCCACCCATGTGCCCCGCAGCACAGCCTTAAAAAAAAAAAAAAAAGAGTGATGTGACAGGGCCCATTTGACTCATTGAACAAAATATTTGACACATCATATGAAAACAAAGAAGGGTACAAATAGTAGGAATTCATTTTCCTTTCTTCAAATGTGCATGGGAAGGACGGAGGAAAGGCTGGAAGGAATTATAGAGGCGTATTAGCTGTTTACCTATAGGCAACAGGTTCATGGGTGATTTTTAAATCCTATTCAATAAAATATGCACTAATTTGTACAAGGAGAAAATACTGGGTGAGTGCGCGGGTGGGTGGTAGCGTTTAAAGGGTGGGACTTGGTGCGAAAGGAAGAGTTGCCCCCAGAAGGCTGGCTTCTGATTTGTGAACCCAGAGGAAACAGATGGTGAAGTTGAGTGGGGCCAGGCTCCAGTGGCCGGAAGTGCTGCGCTCAGGCACTAGCCCCTTCCTGAGTTCTGCCTTTGAGACATGTGGCTTGGATTTCATGCTTCTGTCTCCCTCTTTTGTCTGTGTGGGTTTGGCTCACGTGTGTGTCTGAAGGCTCAGTGACCAAGAATCCTCCCCCATCTGGGGGCGTAAGGCCTCCTTGTTCCGTTTCATTTCTCGCTTTTAAAATGGAGGAGAATATTTTCCGTCTTTCACAAAGGGCTTCACAGTCTGGTCATGCAGAGTACTGTGTCCCCTCAAGCTGGTCGTTAGCGTGCAACCTGTTTGCTAATAAACCAGTGCGGGACTCTGGTGTCAAAATGCTTAAAATGGTCAAATCAGCGGGGACTCCCATTTCTGCATTCGACATGCCTTTCCCATTTCCCAGCCCCATGCAGAACATACACCTGAATCAGGAGGTGGCTCGGCGTGAACTCTTGTAAATTGGAGTGGGCATCTAGGGATTGGGGAGCGGACACTTCTTTTAACCTTTCAAGACTAAGAATCATTTGGCCCCAAATCCACAACGTACTGAACCTGGGGTGTGAAAGCCGTACAGTGTATTAAATGTGAATTTGAGCCCATGAATTCTGCCCACACCGACTCTATAAAACAGCCTCTCCCTTTCATAAAGCCGGCCCATAAACGGCTGCCAGTGAAGCAGAAAGAGTCCTTAGGACTGTGGCTCGCTTTCCGTCTGGGGCTGTCAACAAACCCCCTTTATGAGTGGAATAGACCTCTTGTATGTGTCGAACTTCTGGCTTTTTACAGAGTGTGTCAGGAGCCAGGCTAGGCAAGCGTTAGGCGCTGTTTGCTGAGTGCATTTATTGCCTTTGCATAATTTATGAGCTGGATGGGTTGACCATCATTCGTCTCTGCCAGGGGCTGGCACTCGAGGCTCCTGAGAGCGGAGCTGTAAATTGGATGGTGCGCTCCTGCTGAGCTCACGGCAAAGTCCTCGGGTCAGTATGGGAATTTAATACCAGAAATGGAACTGTTTTCTCAGCGCACCATGTGGGCCCCAGCGCAGCAGAGACTGTTTTGGCAGACTCTGCGACTGGCCGTGTCGAGGAGCTGTCACTCACCCGGCATGTTGTGTGGGGAGCCTGAGCATTTTTAATCGGCTTGGCATCCGTGCTGCTTCCATAATGGATACCAGTAGGTCTCAGTTCTTCACCATATGCTTAACTCTGGAGACAAGGTGCTTCTGGGTATATCAGTAATTACTCGATGCAGAATTAAGTGGACCTTGAAATTAGAACTGGACTGTTGGAAAGCAGAAAGCTTAACACTTTGATAGAAGTAACCATTCCCAGGGACATCCTGCCGTCAGGATCGGTGGGGGTGGGGGTGGGCATGGGCAGCGACGGTTCTTTTCCGGCCTTCCCACTCCTTCTGCCCCCTGCACGCCAGGCCTTGGGGACACGGGCAAGTGCCATGCCACAGCCGTCAGCTGTCACCGATTGCCTCACGAGGCGAGCTGGGAACATCTGGGGAGCTGAGTCTGCCTGGCAGGAGACGCTTCTCTCCTCCACGTCCCTCCTGAATAATGCTTTGTCACTCTTGAAATCGTGCCCATAACTTAGGAACCTCGACGAAGGCCTAAGTGAATAAAGGCAGTAGAAAAATTACACCGTTGGGAGACCAGAACCTCATCTGTCTGTTGGTCTAGGCCTTCAGAGTCTTCATCTCGCCTCTTTTGACTTATCAGAACAGAGAAATCTCTCATCAGGCAAAAGGAAGCTTAGACCTTAGAAGCTGGGCAGCCTGGTGGAACACGGTGCAGTCGTACTTGGTTAAATGGCATGCTCACTAAAACTCTGATAACCCTATGGCATTGAGGAGCCAGCAAGGACAGTGGAAGATGTGAGAGCCCTGCAGTCTGTAAGCTTGTGTTGTGAGTTCCTTCCTAAATACCTACAGTAGAGAATGTAATCTACAGAGAGGAAGGAGTCCCCACGTGTGTCTTATAATAGCAAGCTGCCCCTTTGGATGGAGTTTTTGTTACTTTTGATGGAAAACACTCTAACGGCGGTTTTTAAACAATAGGGTAACTTACTATTACCTGAACAAAAATGTCCAGAGGCAGGCTGCTCTTAGGTTGGCTCAAGTGACTCCATTGTTCTGGGCCTTTTCTTGGCCCCACCCTCTTGTTTTTGTACTTGGGCTTTTTGCCTCCTTTTTGCAAGATGGCTGCCACAGATCCGGACATCACAGCCTCGTTCAGTCGTGTTCAGATGCAAGGGCTTCCTGCTTTTCTTCTGTTTTGAGGAGAAAAAAAAAATTTTCAACAGACATTTCCTCGAGTCTCAGCCAAGAGTGTGTGTTATGGCTACCCTTAGCTGCAAGGAGAGTTGGAAATGGGAGACTCTGGCTTTTTTATCTCAAAATGTCAGAAGCTACAGACTAGGGAGAAGGGGATTGTGAATGACTGCAGGTATCCAGCCAGTAGTGACACTGTACAAGCAATTTATTTTCTGTTTCTGTTCATAGTACCCCAACCCCCACGTCCAGGTGGCCACACTCAACCCTTGGCATCATCCTTGACTCATCCCCTCTCCCTTGCTTCTCACACCCCTGCATTACCACGTCCAATTGGGTCTTCCTTCAGGGTTACTGTGCCATCTGTTCCTCCCTTCCTTAAACCACGCGTCATGCTGCTTCAGACAGTGTTGTGACGGTCGCCAAGCGGGTCACCTGCGACCGATGCCTTCTCCCGAACCCCAGCACATGGTCTCCCCCCTGCCCCGTGGGAAGTCACTCTAATGGAAAAGAGCTCTCATCACGCCATGCCTCTGCTCAGCGTTAGTGTTCTGCTTCCCTCTGCTGCTAAACGTAAAGCTACCTTAGGGCCAGTCCTGCATCTCGGTTGGGTATCTGTCTGGCTTAGCAGTGCTTATCAGGGACTGTTGAGAGAATGAATGAGTATTTTTATCTGTTGCACATTTACTCTGACAAAATACGTCCCCTCTTTTAAAATCAAATCTTGGTTTATAAAGAAAATGGGGTTTTATTTTTTCCCCCTTTACATCTAATGAAGAAGCCAGAGTTTTGAGTTAACTCTTGTTCTTCACGTAGCCCAGACTTAGCTGACCAGTTGGAGTTTGGGGTCTGTTAGCTATGATGTGAATCCACTGCCATAAAACATATTTCTTTGCCCAGATTGTTGATTTATTTCCCTGACCTCTTCTTCTCATTGGTGTGTCTTTTGTAGAGAACATTCCCTCTTTTCTCTGAGCGTCTGAGCCGCAGAGAAGGCAGCCATTCCAACTGGTGAGCTCTGCCCACCATGTTCCGTTTCTTTCAAAGTCCAAATGAGAGCATGCGGTGTCCGGAGGTTTACCTCTTCTCCTGTGTAAAAGCACTGGGAGAGATACAACCATTCACATTAGCTGAAGGTAGAAGGTCTCCATTAGGATATTGATTTGCTGCGAATCCCAATGAATGATCTTGATTCCCCTTAATCCCGCGGCCCGATTGGCTCCTCGACGGGCATCCCCTCTCCTGGGTGGTGGGGGCGCTCACCACTGCGACCTTGCTCCCTGCCAGACTCACCACAGGAAGCGCCGAGTGCAGGCATCAAGTGAAATCAACAGGGCAACGTCCATTTCGCCTCTGCTTCTATTCGTCATCGTTTGAGCTGAAGAAACTCTGTACCGCTTAGGCAGCAGTTCCTATTGCCTTTATTTATCTCTTTTTTTTTTTTTTCTGTATCAAAATCGAGTAGATTTTTGCGCTAACCTTTATTCTCTTGTCTTTCTTTTCAGTGTGACAGCGACAGTGACCAGGAAGAGAAGGTAAGCCCCCCCACCCATTGTGGGCAGAGTCGAGCACTGTGGTTCACGCGGTCACAGGGCGGTGCGTTACCAGCTTCATAGTGACCGCACCTGTTCTGTCCTGCAGACACCAGCTTTATTCACACGGTGGCATTTCCCGTGATTAGAAATCACGTACTCAATTTGTGAGGCCCACTTTTTTTCAACACCCCCGTTAATATTGGCTATATTGGCGTCAACGTTTCACTTTACGGATTTTAAAAGAGGAAACCGTTTTACCTGCCATCGGGTTTTTCTTTCTGAATCCTTGAGTGGAACATTAAACTTGCTAGCTTGCATTTATGATGTCATTTCTTCGTTTCTTTCACTGACGTCTCTGTTCTTTCCGCCTTGCTATACGCTTTGACCTTCTTGATAGAAATGTGAATGGTGTGTTTCTAGGGGTCTCCTCACGGGGGAGGGGGAGGGGTGGGCAGGGCTGGGCAGTGGATGGCCAGGTGGGAGGGTGGTTCTTCATGCAGGTACATACTCCGTTTCGAGGCTGATGGCCACCAGCCTCTGTGTATCCAGTTCAACACGGATCAAGAATAGGAGCTCAGTTTTTGAGCCTTAAGAAGACTGGATCACAACCCGGTAAAGTGAACTCTCTGCGCTTGAAGCCAAGGGATTATTTATTATTTGTCGGTTTGGTCTTTCTTTCTAGCTGCCCCAACCCCTCAACCAAATTTCTTGCTACTTTTATTCCTCCCTTATGAACCTCATAGTTACCTGAATATCACGGTTTCTATATCGCTTGGCATCAGAGAGACGGGGCAAGTTGTCCCCTCCCCGGTTTCCAGATCTGTCCTGTGGAGCTGGCTTTCTGGAGCCCCATTCTCTGCCTTTGACCTCCTATGTGCTTGTGGATTTCACTCAGAAACCTGCAGTTAGTGTTTGCTGGGATCTTCCCAACAAGCCCAGAATGTTCCCTCCTTCTCTGCTGCCAGCCTCCAAGAGAGATCTAAAGGCTCTTGTACTGTCGTTAATTTGAATTCAGCATATGTAGCCTGTTATAAAATGCGAGACATCATCATTTGAGCAGGTCAAGCATATTCAGATGAAGACAAATGGTGCTTATTTGATTTCCTTAAAATCAGGAAATGAAAAAAGTGCTCTCTGGAGAAATCATGTTCTGCCTGACTTGGATGATAGACCAATGCATGTCCCCTAGATAAGAACAGGCTCTCGCCTTGAGGTTTTTATCTCTGAAGGACGGCCAGGACTGTCAGCTTGCTGACATGTGCATTATCCATGTCATTTTAAACAAAGTGACCTATGGAAGGGTGCGCTGTGCTGTGACATGGTAATGGGCTGTTGGATGACAGTGAAAGTACACACTGCAAAGGGGGCTGTGGATTATTCTTTTGTTTAACTGACAAGTAGGAGCTTCCTTCCTCTAGCCCCCGGGAGTCTCGGCTCCTTGCAAGTCGGTCCCCTGGTGGCTCGGGCGGCCAGCGTGCAGTGGGTGCCAGAGGCGCACAGACAGCGGTAGAGGCTCAGTGTCCGAGGCGCGTCCGCCGGGCCTGGAGCCATCCAGGCCACGTTCCCGCATGGCGGTCGCCATGTCGTTCTTTTGGGCATCACAGGCACCTGGGAGGGATTGGCGCCTTCTGGCCGTTCCAGATCTTTTACAGGTGACGGTCGATCTCATTGTTCAGGCCAGTGGTTCTCCTCCAAAAGGACGAGCCGTGTTCTGGATTTCACATCCAAGGGGACATTCTTTCTTTAAAAGGCAGTGTGAGTCCCCGAAGTGTCACTGGTCCCCAGTAGTGGGAGGTGGTGGTACAGATTGTCCAGTGTTACATTGCATGCAGGCGTCTGGGTCCACGGTCTCAACCTGAATGCACTTCCGAATCATCTGGGGTTGGTGGGGGGTGGGGGGGCGGTGGTTGTGTAAAACTCCTGATGCCTGGGCCTCGTCCTGGGCCACTCACCTCGCAGGCTCTGGAGGTGCCTAGCTGTGCTTGTCCAGGCTGTGGTAGAGCAGTCTGTGGTTTCCAGAGTGTCCCAGGGGCCGAGGTGTTTTCCACACGCTGACTGCATCCCAGCGGGTCCTTCGCTAGGACCCGACTCCCCGTGTCCTTGCCAACCCAGTGCCCAGCTCTGAGCGCAGGAAGCAGCAGAGCGTCTGAGCAGAGTAATGGCAGTGGGAAGAGAGCAGGGCCCGCCGCTCAGAGTCAGGGACGACTTCAGGGCAACGAAGGAGAATAAGGAGATGTTTATAGCAGGTGCACGAGAGGGGCGATGAGCCGTTAGGCCTGTTCCTTGGACCCGCCGCCCCGGGTGGCTCTGCCTGTGGCCCGCGGTGGCCCTGCAGGCCGTCCTAGCGGGGAGCTGCTCCCCAGCCTCGCTCCCGGCGTCTGTCCCTGCCCCGCCACGCGCCACCCGGCGTTCCTCCAGAGGGCTCCCGGCAGGAGCAATCAAGACTGTAATCGCAGCCGTGCCTGCTTGGCTCTGTTACAGTTCAGACTGTCAGGCTTCCCCTTTTGGACTGAGATTGTCTGGTGTTTATCACCGACTTTAGCACCATCCTCCCAGACTTCTGCGTGCTGGAGCCTGGGCCCCTGGCAGCCTCCTCTGTGCCAGAGCCCCTTGCCTGGGCCCCCCTCGAAGCCCCGGAGCTAACCGGGGCTGCTTTCATGTGCCGCTTGGAGGATTCGCATTCAAATCTGAATTGCTAATGGTGGAAAAGATGCCACTCAGTGTCCTGGGATCCCTTCAGCAGCCTCGCCAGGGAGGCAAAAGTGAGACTTGTGGGGACCCACTGGGATTTCTCTCCGGAAGACCTGTCATTCTCTTACTCCACGGGGATCTGCAGAACCGGCGGTCTAAAATTAGGGCACTGTATTTCACACAGCTGACTGAATTAAGATAAACTCTGCTTTCCTCTGATACGAAGCTGTAATTTATAAAATGATACCCTTACTAATTAATGTGGAAGTGACTGGGAAAGGAGCAAAAAAAGCAGAGCTCTCCACGCATGCAGGAGACGCACTTGTGCACAGAAAGGCCCTGAAGAGACACTGAGCAGAGCCCCTCTCTGCACCCCCTCCCAGCCGTGCGGGGTACGTTTCGCATTCGTGCCAGAGAACCCGGAGGGCTTGGCCAGGGTCGGCGCTGGGCGGGGGTGAGAGAAGGCTGCGAGCGGCCCGCATCTTAGACATGGGATTTGTCTGTCTGGCAGTTAGTGTAAAGAAAGGAGGAAGCACTTTGCACCTTAATCACCCAAATGAAGCAATTATCCCAGTCTCCCATTCGAAATGAATTGCTATCATGAGAACAAAGAAGCAACGTGCATATTTCCATGTATTTGGCCTATGTTTTCTCTTGTTGCCTCTCTTCCCCTACCCCTGGCAGCTGCCCATTCTACTAAGAAACACTCCCTATTTGCTTATGAGATTAATGTAGAGATTAAAAGTAGTTCTTGTTTATTGTGTGGGCCACAGGGCAAAGCTGGTTGCAAGGCGTAGTGCCCGGTGGTCAGGCGCTTGGGCCTTCGAGTCCGACAGCTTAGGCTTGTGTGTGACTGTCCTTTGCTACTTTGCAGCACCGGACAAGCCTCCGTGCTCTCATCCGCCGGATGGGATTATCAACAACTCCACCTGTAGCTTTGTAACAATTAAGGAAGATGGGTCACTCAGCTCCTGGTCCGTAGTAAGGGCTCATACATGTCGGCTTTCTTGAGTTTTACTTGGGGTGAAGTGAGAGACTCACTTGGGAAATGAGGACGGCTACCCTCCTTTTCAGGAAGCTCCAGATCTGGTGGGAAAACCCACCAGAGGACATGAGGCTCCGCCTTCATCCCCTAGGGCACTTCTTCCTGTTACACACCGAATGGAAGGGGTGTGAAATTTGGAAGAGTCCCCTAAAATGACACTTAAATTCCTCATTTCTCATCCCAAATTCCAGGCTTTCCTCTGGGCACCACCCGGAGCCAAGAACAAGTGTGCCCCCCCGCCCCCCCCTCAGGAATCAGATGGCAATGACTTGGATTGTACAGCCCGCGGCCCACGTGCCAAATACTGCCAGCTCAGACATCCCTCACAGGGGAGAGGGGCCCATGCGACACCTCCTGGGTGGAGCTTTAGTGTCTGTATTTTTTGAAAAGTTCCTTAGTAACCTACATGCAATTTGTCCTGAAAACGACTGCCTTATAACTAACAAATGTCAAAGAGAAACATTTACCTTCCCCTTGCTTAGTGCTCATAACATCTTGACCGCACGGAAGAAAGATGTAAAAGAAAGAAAGTAGGGGTGCTGTGGAGGCGTGTGCACCTATGTGCTTGCGTATGGTACAGGGAACACACACACATGCAACCTCTTCACAAATAGGAACCAGTCTCCTTTTTCTAACGTTCCTGTGAACATGACCCCGATGGCAGTTTCTGCTCTCTGGGCTTTGAACGTCCAGAGAAGGTTGCATGCTTCCTGTGACTTGCTCCCGAGCACCTGGGACACCCTGCTGGGACGCAGCCGGGTGCAAATGCAGTACCCCTGATTTTCCACCCCGGCTCCCTTCCCCCCACACATGAACACACTTCTTGGTGCATTCTGATTTTTTGATGCATGCTAAAACGTGTTGTGTTTGATCATTTTGTGTTCACTTGAGTGGGAAGGGGGCAGCTTCTAAGAGCAGAGGCTTATGTTCCCGACTCCACACAGACCACATGCCTAACTTGGCTTCTGAAGGACTCAGAAACTGCTGAGATGCCAAACTGAAGACAGGGCATGTGGCTCGTGCTTATAGTGGAAGGGCCCCATGCCTTGAGTGGCCAAAATTCACACTTGGTAAAGATTGTGCACCCTCAGCAACATTCCAGAAGCTCACTGTTGCTTGTAGAACCTCAGTCCTTGGTTTGGAAGTAGGACCTATTCTGATCAGGAGACAATGAGGGACACTGTCCTGTTTTGCAGCTGGAAAAAAGGAATTTTCTCCCCTCTTCCCATTCCTAGTGGCAAAGCAAACAGCCACCTCCCAGAAG